TGACTCTGGGCGGTTTACAATAAAAACAACAAATAAATATTAATTAAAATACAATAAAATAGTATAACAATACAATAAAAATACAGTGCAAACCAAATACATACCTAAATAACAATATCTCCCAAGGTGCTGCTGGTAGAAAAGATATTAACCTACAGGAGCATCTTCAAGGTGCTCAGGGTTGGTTGTCCCTCTTCTCGCCCCACCAACTTGGCAGAGCCAGGTCTTCACCCCTTTTTGGAAGGTCAAGAGAGGAGGGGCCTGCCTCACCTCTGAAGGAGGGTATTTTATAGGGCAGGGGCCACAGCAGAGAAGGTTCTCCTTCTGGGCCCCTCCAGTCGACATTCTTTCTTGCCTCATAATCCAATTACATCTTCTACTTTAGCATATCCTGCAAAGGAGAACTCATCAACAAAGCAGGGTCTCCTTCCTTTTTTAAAGTTCTGTACCATTTTCATCCTCGGTAGACATACTTAGAAAGATTAGAGCATTTCAACCCACAGCAAAAACTTTTCACCCAGATGGCAGAACTACAGGATGTAGGAATCGCAGCCTGGATCATTTGCATGGGGCTGTTGGTTAGACTTAACTAATATGAAAGGGTGATATGGCATTGCAAAAATGAAATGGATAGCTAGTACAACTGCTGCAAAACTGCTGCTACCCGCTCAGCCTTTCTGGCATCCAGACAGCTGTTTTCTGCACCAACAGAAAAGTTCAACCTGTCTTCAGGGACAGACCCATGTGAAAAATAAATATTCAGCTCAATCCTAGAGTCACTGGGGGTCGGGTGGCATATACATTTAATCTACTACTACTACTACTACTACTACTACTACTATTATTATTATTATTATTATTATTATTATTCAGTTAAAACATTTGGATCAGCTACAAAGGTATCCTCATAGTTAACTGAGCAGATTTTTTTTCAAAATATTTTTAATGCAAACCCATTATATTATCATTTGCTTCATTATTATTTTAAATATTCTGCAACACTTCTGACTTCTTTTGGTTATTTACGTGACTCTGGGTGGCTCACAATATTAAAAATAATAGGTATACATAAAATATAAAACCCATAGCAGCTAGAAGAAAATTACAGAGCCACAATCCAACACTCAGCATAACCAGGCAACAGAGCTTAACCCATCCCACACAGAGCAATATCTTCAGGGCCTCACCGAAGGCCAAGAGGGACAAGGCCAGTCTGATCCCTGGAGGGGTGGCGTTCCAGAGGGCAGGTCTCATGACAGAAAAGGCTCTCCTCCTGGGCCCCGCCAGCCAACACTCCTTAGCTGACTCTTTGGCAATGCTAGGTTAGCTTTAACCTAAATTAAGGTTGGATTGTTTGTGCTTCGTGTCCGCCAACTCATGCATCTTATTGTTAGCTTATTGTTCAGTATACTGTACAAATCTCAAAAGGGCCAGGTTATTTGCAGGATTGCCCATCTCCAATTACATCTGCCATCCGGTAAGCTCTAACAGGGTTGGCGTGCTTAGGCAATGTCACCTGGTAAAACAGCATTCCCCACCCCCCACCCCCCAATGTTCAATTACCTTGGCCCTCCCTGCCTGCCTTTCAGAAGTATTAAAGACCTGTTTTTTTCTTGCCGGCATTACGTCTGGAAGTGGTACAAGCTGCTGGATGAAGTCTTCCCCCGCCCCACCACTTATGTATTTGCATGTTGTAGCAGATGGTGTTTTTTATATTTAGTTTTATTATATGATTTATTGATTATTACTGTTATTGATGATGTACACTTCCCTGAGTCGTGTGCCAAGTAGGGAAGCTATATACAGGTAGTCCTCATTTAGTGACTGCCTTCTTTAGCAACCATTTGCAGCTACAATG